TCAAAAGGGGGGGGGGGGGGGGATGATAAAATGGACCACCCCCCTTGTCAAATATTGGGGGATATATCCCCCCCCCGGGATCTACGCCTATGTGAGCATAACACAATGAGTATCTGAATACATAAAAAAATACACTCTTGAGTACTTTTATGAATTGTATCTTAAAAGTATTTTTTTTTATCTATCTCGCCGTGCTTATAATACCAATTATATAATTATTTCAGATGATTTAATAAGCATACTTAGGTGATGTTGTTTTACAATGTATTGTAAAAATTGCAATCACATTTGTTTTAGTTGTGTACCGTTTCAGTTGGGTTAATGTCTTTCTTGGCATGTTGTGTCCATGTGACCGATGAACTAATCGCGAATTCTGCCACTGTTTCTGTTTTCAAATACAATCATAAATATAATTTAGAACTGCTTAGCTGCATGGATACAGACACCACGTTTGTGATTTCTTTTGTTTATTTAAACATATTAATGTATTATTCATTTAAAATATATGCCTTGGTTTTGTACATTGTATGTAAAGAACATAAAAAGAAATATGTTGACCCTCTTGTGACCCCATCTACAACACAGGCTAGAGTTGTCATCGTGATGGTGCACTTACAATTCAAAGAAACTAGGAGTGTCGAAGTTGTTTTGTTATATTTCAAAAGTACAAGAACTTTTATTGTAAATAGCATAAGCCGCTTATTGATAAATGAGCCATGTAATTCTCTCCTTCCTGCGTTTAAAATTACGGTTTGTGAAAATATTAATCATAGGTAAGAAAAAAGGGCATAGCCTAGTATAAATGCTGAAACCCGTATACGCATTACTTTCTGAAAGGTCCACTGATTAATCTCAGATAAAAATGTGTAATACATACTCCAAGTATTGAAATGCACGCCATCGTGTTGGGATTCAATATTTGGACATTATTTATGTCATCATCAGGAATTCCTGATAATGGCATAATTAATGCCGAAACATCGAATCCCAACATGATGGTGTGCATTTCAATACTTGGAGAATGTATTATAATTTCATTATTGTTCTGTTCGTTGGATTTTTGATCAGACCACTTCTCGAGTCCCTTATCAAACACACGTGGGCCACTCAATACGCAAGGAGTCTTCGACCAGCTCATTGAGACATATACAAAAAAAAAAATAATTAAGCTAATTCTTGTATTAGGCCTAATTTTAAAAAAAATGAGCCCCCCCCCCAAAAAAAAAAAAAAAAAAAAAAAAAAAAAAAACCAGATATACATAAGGTTATTGAATGCATATTTTTGTGTTTTTGGAGTTAATTTCATCATCCAAATAATAATAATAATAATAATAATTTACATAGATTGATAGGAAAGGTTAGCCTATATATGTACAAAAATGTGATCTTTTTTGAAATAGTCAAAATAATAATATTATCATTATTAATAATAATGAAAGTAATAATAATAATAATAATAATAATAATAATAATTAGTTATCAAAATAATCAAAGCATAATTCCATATCATATTTATCCATATATCAATACTAAACAAATACTATTTTAACGTATACGATATAATAAATATAAATATATTAATTTAAAAATATTTACTAAATAGGTGAATTTGATGTGCACACAATTGTATTTACCATTCAAGTCTTGCTTAAGCATTGGGAACCCTCATAATTTCGATTTGTTTCATAACTGTACACAATAGTTGTTTCAAATATCAATAGGAACAATAACGTACGTTTTCCCCAGTCTGTATCCATCACATTTATGTCTGATTAATGAAGGGGTTACTCGATGTCACACGTTATAGCCACAACTAAAACTACAATGCTTGAATGTTAGTGCCATCTTTGTTAAAATGGCTTATCATTATCATACAGACTTAGACCTATCCAACTGATAATATGGCGTCATCTTATTGATCTATCATTTAGCTCACCCTTTGGTCAAACGTTCGATCAATCATCTTCTTCACCACCAAAGAAATGCTTTGATTTATCAGACAAATTACCTTTCAAAATTGATAACTGGTACTATATTTACAATGTTATATCAAACCAAATACAGACAAGATATGAACGTGCTTAGTTTGTTGTCAGACCTTTATTCATGTTATAAAATCATATTCATTTTGTACAAAAAAATAGCCAAGTTTAGCATAAACCCCCAAGCTTTCATCCACGTAGTAGACGTATTATTATGAGACAGTAAAGAGTCTCAAATTACAGCATGTATAAAAAAGCAATAAAGAATTATGTTTATGTAGATTGACTTAAGACAATTATAGATATACATTCTCACGTCTGTTTTATGAATAATATTGGCCTATTATTATTATTATTATTATTATTATTATTATTATTTGAAAGATGTTTGCGTCAGGAAGTTCAATAAGTTTTTCTTGTTCGGGTTTATGCCCATTCTCTTTCCTGGCAATACTGTAACATGTCTTTTTGATGCCAAATAAATATTATTATTATTATTATTATATAAGAATGAATCTTTGCCCAACTTGAATATTGCAATTAATAATGAAGTGTTTTCTTTTTTGTTTGTTTGTTTTCTATTTTAGAATTTCCTGGTTTAGCATAATATCATTCACTGTAATTATTTACACCCGGTCAGAAAACATTGGTTTAGGTGAGGCTAATCTTGATGACACGACATTGGTAGAGAACATGCATACGGTGGCCATTGTAAGCCCTTCTGAGACGGTGGTAGGATTACTCTGTGTACGGTGACCTGTCCTACAAAAAAGGAGGGGCGTATCCGCTAGTGTAAGTCGTTAATTAGTGAGGTGATTTTTGCACAACAGTCATAGTGGGTGACCTATCCTGTTTAACCTAGAAGGTCGGCTGATATTCAGGGGCCCCTTAAATAAATGCAATTACGTGATTCTTTATTTAAAGCCCCATCACGATTTAGGGAGCTGACTTTATATATTTTATTTTATTTATATTTTTAAAATATTTATTTATTTTTTTAAATTATATTTTTCGTCGCAAAACAAAATCTCCTGCTGTCAAAGGATTTGAACCCGGAATAAATAGATTTCGAAATCAACGAAGTATTGTCCTGTGATTCCATTATATTAGACAATCAAACATCAACATATATGGTAGAATAAAGCTATCACTATTTTACCTGAACTTTTTATAAGTTCATTAACACCTACGAGTTCCTAATCGTACGACTTTTTGCATTGATATTAATCCAGGACACAATATATCGATTTCGAAAAGCAAACGAAGTATTGTCATGTGATTCCATTATATTAGACAATCGGAGACCAACATATATGGTAGAATACAGCTATCAATACCGGTACTTTACCTGAACTTATTATCAATTAATTCCGAATCGTACGACTTTTTGTATTTATATTAATCCAGGCCACAATTGTATACCGTACATAATTAGATTCAATCTAATATGAAGTGTGTATCCAATTGATAAGCAACCTATCCTGGTAAATAGATAACTGTTATCACATTGCCTTATGGTAGTACTTAAACATCTCAATGCTAATATTTCCCTTTGAAAATCAGTTTTAGGAGATGATGTATTGTTCAATTGCGTAACTGTATTATAATATAGTTATATTCAAATTAGGTTTAACATTGTAGAACAGTCAACACAATGTATACAAATAAAGGATAACAGTGCTGAAGGAATATATGATGTTATAAATATACCGGTATATATTTTATTTTATTAACAACTTTAACTAGGATGACACAGACATTTTCAAAAATTTTATTGTGGTCCTAAGGCACCAAGCCTAGCACTTACTTTTCATTGAAGAGCTATGCTTGATACCATTATAACATCCTGTTCCTATTTGAGCACTAATTATTTATCCATTATATATATATATATATATAAGTATATATACTGTCTCTTATACACA